CAGTTTTGTTTGTTTATCTCTGGGCTGCAAGGCCGAACTCTTTCGCACTATCTGATTGTAGGAGCATACACTCTCGCTGATACTCTTCTGTGTAAGAACGAGCTGAAGTGCTGGAAGAGGCCGTTGAAACATTTTGCATAATTTCTTAGCAAACGTGAACGTCGCGTGACCGCAACCTACAAAATGTGATCTTGACTTTATTGGTTTATGTGAAAGCGTGAGAGTTGCGCTTTCAAGACGTTGCCATGTTTCTACAGTAAATCAAAGTTGTGCGTGAATGTGAAAGGGCTAACAGTTTTCTCTCGCTGTTTTCAAAGGAACAGAGCTGTGAATGAATTAGTTACGCGTCTGTTTCACCTTTTCTGAGACCGTGTTCTCTCTCGTTCCCCTGTCTTTTGTGCACAGTGCTGGGGTTTGACAGAGTGCCGTGGTGGGGTACGCTGTGCATTTCTCTGGGCTGCGCTGCCGTCACAGCCTTGTTCGTTTGGTTTGTCGTCTGTCCCCGCCTCAGGAAGAAAATCCAAGGTGAGTAAATCTGACTTTAGACTTTCAGACTATACTTTTGTAAATATGTTGACAAAAATATGCGACTTATGTATTAAAATTCTATTTATTTCTGCACTGGCATCACTGCTTTCTCTTGCGTTAAAAATCTGAGTGCTTCTTTCATCCAGCACAAACAGCTGCTGCTCCCTGTGCAGCTCCGCTCATGGAGAGGAACTCCAGCAAACCCGTGCAACCGCAGCAGTCCCCAGTATCCCATGCACCCCGACCACAGAGCCCTCCAGCAGACAGTCAGAAGGTGGCTTTTAAACTGGGAGGCTCAGATGAGACGGATTTAGACAGCATAGATGCAGAAACCAAAGACCTGGACATCGCCAACGGTAATGACTTGAATCTGCACTCTAAATAGAGTATAACCAGAAGAAACTCCAACAGCTTAATTACATTTAACTATTTATTTTCATAGGTCTGAATGGGACCGTAGGCCCCATGGTGATCACTGATCCTCACAGTGGTCGGTCCCATACAATCCACAAAGACTCTGGCCTTTACAAGGACCTGCTGCACAAGCTCCACATGGCCAAGGTTGGCGAATGTATTGGTGACAGTGACACAGAAGAGCGGCCCATCCGGAGGAACAACAGCTACACCTCCTACACCATGGCTATTTACGGAATTCAAGGAGATGTCAGGTATAAAGACGGGGACGGTGGGCTGCAGAGGAGACCGAGAGTGGACAGTTACAGCAGCTACAGCTCAGCAGTGTCCAACAGGAGTGCAGCTCTGGACGAGAATGTGGCCCAAGAAGCTGGCACCGACCTTGCTGGCACGGACCAGGAAGAGGATGAGTTGGAAGTCGACCAGCCTGCCGTTTCCTCGCTTTTCCAGTTCCTGCAGATACTCACTGCGTGCTTTGGCTCTTTTGCTCATGGAGGGAATGATGTCAGGTAGGCAAGGATGTTTGTTTTTTCTGAAGAATTCATATACGTTGGTTTATTCAGATGGCTTACAGAAACTTTTTTTTCGCATTAGCAATGCTATAGGCCCACTGGTGGCTCTCTGGCTTCTGTATGAGAGTGGCTCCGTCTTGTCAAGTGCACCAACACCTATCTGGCTGCTTCTTTACGGTGGAGCCGGCATCTGCATTGGACTCTGGGTGTGGGGTCGGAGGGTGATCCAGACCATGGGCAAAGATCTCACCCCTATTACACCGTCGAGGTATGCGGCTGACAAATAAAATCCTTATTTGTGTTAAAGTCGAAGCATACTGACATTTCCTTCTCTTCTAGTGGATTCAGCATCGAGCTGGCCTCAGCAATCACGGTTGTGGTGGCATCCAATATTGGCCTTCCTGTCAGCACAACCCACTGCAAGGTAATGAAACTAAAGGGACTGTCTTTACTACAAATAGACGCATACGTTAGAAATAACCTAAGCTTTCTGCACAAGTAATGTACACGGTGGCACATGACCTGATGAGCTCTTAAATTATGTGCACACAGGTGGGATCCGTAGTGGCCGTGGGATGGTTACGTTCCCGGAAGTCAGTCGACTGGCGTTTGTTCAGGAATATCTTCATAGCCTGGTTTGTTACTGTTCCGATTTCTGGGCTGATCAGCGCTGCCATCATGGCTCTCTTCATTTATGTTATCCTCTGAGGCCAGCACTGTCCAGCGACACTCCTACTTGAGTTGATGGACTGCAGCCAACAAGTTGTTTGACTCTGATAAATCCTACGCCAATAAAAATGTCCTGTTTGTTCTCCATTTGCTAATGATTTATATTATATCATTAAGTCAAGGCAATTATTTTATCTCCCATGGTCGCGTCCTTGAATTATGTAGACTCTAATAACACTCTTCAGTTATCCGAAAGACTGTGATCTTGTATATCCTTTTGTATATTTGTATAGAAGCAATGTTTTCATCAGATGATTCCCTTTTGACTGAAAAAGAACGAGCAGCAGTTGTATGTTTGGATATTTGGATACAGTAAAATATGGAGTTGCTTGATTTGATGATATTTCAATGTATTTTACTCACCATTAAAGATTTTCTTTTACAGAAAGATGCTTTTCTGAGTGTTAATGTGGGAGGGTTGGATTATTAAAAGCAACAAAACATCATCATAAATTTGATCGGAAAACTGTTCATTAAAAAATGAACATTAGAGTTTTCACTAAGGTGGACGTTATAGTGAACCATCGACACTAATAGTGTCAGCGGTAGTGCATCTGATTCTCCTCAATGTTTTGGTGCTATTTCTGCAAAATCCACGAGGTGGCAGTGCTGCAGCAGCCTTTTTTACACACACACTGACTCCTCCATACAGGAAGAACCTTTAAATGCACAATACTGTGCAAAGGTCTTCATGTCTTTGTATTCTGCTTCCAAGAAGCCAAATTTTCTTGTAGTTTTTTTTTTTTTTCCAATTCTGGTACCTGAAAAGACTTGACCGAAACAGAAATTTTTCAGAAGAATCTTTTTTGGTTGTTTAAGCAACTTAACACAGAACCATGAATCATTCAAACATTAAAATGCAACTAATTAATGAGATGAACCAGTTTTGTGTCTGCACATAACTGATGACTTGGTAATGAACCGAATTGAATGTGTCCTTAGACATTTTGCTATTAGCAGCCTGACAGAGAACTACATTATCTTTGAATCTATGAAAAGGGGAAGAGTGGCTATCAAGAAGCCACTCTTAAGGAAGGGAAAGGCTGAAATATGCAAAATTACACAAGAACTGAAAATCAGTGGCAATAGATCTCATGGAGTGGTAAATCTAAATTTGAAATCTTTGGTTCAAATCATCATCAACATGTTCAGAGGAGGTCGAGAGAGAGAGAGAGAGAGGTACAACAGTGAGTGTCTGTAGTTATCTGCTTAGTGCTGCATTTCAGCCAGGTGTGTTGGAGGTCCTTTCAGAATTGATTGAAATTAATTAATTCAGACTTTGATCCACTACTGTAATACCATCCAGAAAACATCTGACTGGAACTTCATTTTTCAGTACGCCAATGATCCCAGACACACTGCCAATGTAGTAAAAGCATACTGGATAGAAAAACACACTGAGGAACACTACTGATCACGGACTGGCCACTTTAAAAACAAATGACAATTTATTATAAAAGCCAGAAAGGCAGAACTATTATCTTTATATTATTTATTTTGAGAAGTGTTCTGACATTTTTGTTTAATCTTCCCATTGCAATAATAGTAGTTTGGCAGCAGATGCTGCTGCTGTTCCATTTAACAAGCTTTGAAGCGACTCAGTGGATATCATGAACAACAAGATTAATATTAATTAGCCATAGAACTTTCTATACACTATTTATTTAAATAATTAGCCTCTCTGTTCTCAACAAGTCAATGGATTTTACTCTTATTACTTGCATTTTTAAACAGCCTAGCGCTTTTTGTGTATCTGTGTGTATATTTCTGTTGTTATGTAACAATCTCAGAGACTGCACATGTAATTGAGTCCTTTTGGGTTTGTTTGTTTTTCTACCACTGTTATCTAGTTTCACCAATAATTGAAAAAAAATCCACAATTAAAACTGGAAATGTATAATTAAATAAATCAATTTACTATAACTCTGCTGATTTTTCATAAATTTTGCTTAAACTTTGTTGCCAGAAATGTTTGTCTGCCATTGATGTTGCCATAAGACGGAGTCAGTGTGTGATTGAAAGAGGTGAAGTTGTCAATGACATGCAATCTGTTTCTCATAACTGTGACAAATTGTTGAAATTTGCTGTCTACATAGACAGCAAATTCACATTAGACTATTACATTTGAGCTCAGCAGCCTTCCTGCTCTATAGAAAGAGTACAACTGGAGGTAAGTTGAGTCGTGCAAAGACTCATTGAGATTGATGGCAACATGTGTTTGCATTTATAAATTAATATTTACAAACCTTCATCGATCTCTGAGAGTGTTTGCAGTCAGTACCAGTCAGACTGCGAATATTTGCAGAAAGATTGTCTTGAGATCCAAAGTGGCCATGAGTGTGCAACACCAAACACCATTAAACTGTGGGCAACCATTTAGCCATGACTTGCACAAGTTGCAATCCACCACAGACTGTGACAAATTAAATGCAACCACCAGACAGCCACCGATTTTTTAAAAATTAATTTTAGCCGCTAGCTTGCTCTTTATTATTTGTAGATTCGTGTCTTTAATGGCTGACCCTGAAACAAAGGTTCATGGGACTTTCTGAGCAATCTTGTATGATTTGTATAACCCTATGCCAGATAGAGCTGGATCTGTATGTTTTATGAAATATAAATAAATTTAAAAACTAATAAGCAATTGTACGATGGTGTCTTAATATATTGCTTTGTTGTTTCCACATTACCTGGTCTGCTTCCCTTTCACTGTAGTCTTATCCCATGCAAGGGTTTTATTTTGAAATTGGGGACCGGAAGTTGTATAAATCTTTTCGCCTTTTTATTGACACTTTGACTGATTTTATAAAAATATATATATATGGGCTCTTCATACAGGTGTGCTTGGACATTTATTGTTGTTGTGATGATTATTTGGGGTTAGGCGGGGATCGTGCGTGTACTGCGTGGATGTTTGTCTGTTTGGCGTCACGGGGAAAGGAGCGCGCACAGCAGCGCAGCGGCGGCTTCGCTCTGCACTGAAAAACCGTGCAACTGGGGCATGCGTTCACTTTACACAGCGGACCAACAAGCTGGTGGAGACCGTGGCGGATTCACGGGAATACCGCGACGTGTCGATTTTCTGTAATAAACACCGGATTACTGGAGGTGGGTTCGGGGAAGATTTGGGGTGTTTAGCGATAAGGAAACGTAGAAATCACAGATGTGAAAAGGTGCGCTTTACCTCGGGCTTTTTTTCCTCTTTTCTTTCTTCCTCTTCCACCTTTGATAATCTGATTTTCGTCCGGATCCAGTGAAAATGCAGCCTGTACCTGACAGATGTGTGGCACCACAGCTGCAGCCTACAGGTCTGTATCGCCGCTATTAATTCAAGCGTGTTTTTTATGCCATAAATGAAAATTCAATATGAGGCTTAAGACAGACTGAGAATTGAATCAACAGAGGCAGTCTATGGCACTGACTGCATCTGAACAGCTTCTTATGCAAAAAATAATAATTAAAAAAATGTCTGAGTGATATTCTGTCTGCTGTAATTATAGTAGCATCTGGCCTTTTGTGCTCTTCTCCTGAAACACTCACTTGATTAGAATTATTTTGTTGCCAACAAAACAACAACAACAAAAATCCCCAGACAAATTTCTTCACTACATTTTAAGTAAACAAAACGAATTGGCACAGGCCGGTTATCGTGCTACAGCACGGAGCAGGTTAGATTTGTGTCAGGTCCTTTAAAACAATGCCTGACTGCTTACTCAGAGGATAAATCACAGCTTTTGTTTGCCAGTGTGCCTGTGCACCTTGTCTTCTGTTTAGAGAGTATCTCCTGTCTACCTGCTGCAGATCTGCTGTGGTTGGCTGTGGAGGACTGAGATTGCTAAAGCTGCAAATCACATCATCAGCATCATCAGCATCAACATCTGCCACTTCAAACGCGACAAGACACAGGAGGACGCAGGCTGCTTTTTGCATGATCAAAGACGGAGAAGTCAGAAAGTACCTGTAGACGATGACTCCAGCGGAGCTGTTTGCTTGAAAGCAGCATGAGATAACTGGGGGCTGCCACGCTAATCGCTGATTCAAGCTTTTTTCCGTTTGGCAATGATGAAAAAGCCCCTCTTTGTCAGCTGACTGACAGGGTCGCAGTGGTGCTCTAGCACAGGACGTTGCCAGCAGCCGAAGCGCAGACACCACAGAGGAGATGGCTCGTCCGGGATCCGGGTTGCTGGTGCCCGTAAATGGGCTGGGGTACCCCCCTCAGAACCTCGCCAGGGTGGTGGTCTGGGAATGGCTGAACGAACATGGACGCTGGAGGCCCTACACCGCAGCAGTTTGCCACCATATAGAAAACGTGCTGAAGGGGGATGCCCGGGGAAGTGTAGTTCTAGGACAGGTGGATGCTCAGCTTTCTCCTTACATCATCGACCTGCAGTCCATGCACCAGTTTCGACAAGACACAGGTAAGAGTGTGCACAGATGACACAGATGCCAGTGCCAAGGAAAGCACAGATAACACAAATTTAACCATAACAATGGACCCAATGTACTGTATACATGTTTACTGATAATTAATCAGGTATTTTTGGATGTCCTCATACTAGATGATGTCATATTATCCGATCTGGGCCAAACCAACTTTAATGCGCTTGGTACACAAACTCCACAGTCATTTCAAGAGAGTAAATGAGAGCCCCGATTGCTTTGAGGCTCGTGTATATGAGCCACAGGTAGAGCCAAGAGGCACTGCCACAAGATGAATGTGAAGCATAGAGCCAATTAAAGTGTAGCAGTTACATATTGAGCCAGAAATGCCTTCATGCAGCTGTTGGGATGCCATGACCTTGCCAAAGGTCACCATGATTTAGCAGTTGTGCATCCATCAGACAAATGAGATGCAGTTCAGTGTAAACCTCACTCTGTCTTGTTATTCATGTGTTAAACAGTTTGTAATTCAGCGAGTTACAGTATGTTGTTAGGATCTAAGTCATTTCTTATCCTGCTGCTACATGACTTCAGTTTCTGTAACTTTTCACACCTACATACAGAAAATGGAACAATCTGGTTTCACAGTTATTAGACAATCGATGCCCCGCCATGTTTGAACTACGGCGCGTGGAATCCAAAACTTTGTCCTCAATTTTGCATTTAATGCGAGCTCTGTGAGACAGCATGAGGCCAACATTATCTCGACTGAGGGATCGATCGCCTCTGGCCATAACGCGCTAACAGTAAATGCCGACCCCCCCCCCTTTCCTGTTACTACGTGTCACTTTAGAGTAAAATCCAAGCCACCACAGCCTTTGTTTGGCTTGCAGTAATTCTCTCAGATGACTGCTACCTTTTAAAATAAGCCCAGATGCTTTTTTGTAATTCTCCACCAACGATCAACACTCTCTCTTTGTGAGGATTCCCGTCCTGCTTGTTCCAGTGTGTGTGTGAAGCAAAGGCGGGGAGGAGGTTGTAGGCATCTGTTAAGAGCAGCCTTGGAGAAATCGCAGCTTTCTCAATTATTATTCTTCACAGTCAGCTGTGGTTGATTACAACTCTATTAGCCATTTATTGTGACATCTTTGTTAGGATGCTCTGAAACTCCTTTTTTTAAAAAGTCTGACGACGAGAGCTTCCACTCTCTTAAGTTAGAGGCTGGAGTTGCTGTATTTGAAAGTGTTATGTAACACGAGAAGTGCAGGGACACTCTCGCAGGATGTACAGAAGGTAACTTCACTGTCCGCGGGTCTGCACTGTGTCACTTGTCATCAGTGTGCGTGATTCATCAGCATTAATAAATAGCTGCAGCGCCCTGAGGAATACAGATAGAATTGAACAGAGCTCAAATTCCTAAAAGGTCAGACCAATTTGCAAATGCATTAAGTAATAACCGTGTAAGTGTCTTTCAACAGATGGGTGTAGTTCAGGCTATAAATGCAGAGGAATATGGCAGCGGTCACAGTGGTCTGTGGTCTGCTTGCCCCTTTTAAACTAAATAGTAACAAAAAAAGTGCTTAGAAACCAGCAAGTAGATTGGGGTATCTAGAAAAATATTAATATTAGCATAATGTATCTTATAGTCAGTCAAACTTGGTATATCAGTATTTTTCTACTGTTCCGACATGCTCTGGTCGACTGTGCTGACTATGAGGACAACTCCATTTATGAATGGCTGTCAGGTAGGTTGTAGTACAAGCAGCTGCCTGTTTTTCTGCCGTTCTCGTTGACGTCCCCCCCTTTGATAAAACACAGAGCTACACATGTGTCTGTGAGATGAACCACTGAGTCGTTTGTCAGCCATTACCACGACACGGGGGCTAGGCCTGACGTTTATCGCTCCTCACTGTGCTGTTCGCCGTGTTACCTTCCCCCTCGGCTGGGATAAACCTGTCACGGCAGAGGCTGATGGACAGTAGGTCTGGATGCTCGGTGCCTCCTCCGCTTTGTCCTCCTCTGCGCTCTCTTTTGCTGTCCTTCCACACGGGCACACCTCTGTCCTTCGTCGTCATCGATTCAAACTCCCATGAGGCCTAGCTTCCAGGCTGTTGCGATGTTGTTGTAGTGCCGCTTGCGTGGAGGGATCTCGGCGAGCTTGTTTTGCTATAACGTTGAGTGTGATGCAGTTGTTTCACATCGGATGTTTGCTGTAGCTCAGCAGGTCACCCTCAGCCACTTGCTTTGTTGCAGGCTTATGGAGTGTCCCTGTGGGGAAACCCCGTTTTGTCGCAGAGCCAGTGAGCTTGCCCTCTGAGGCTGTTTCCTTTTTTGCTAAGAGTTGTAAAAAAAGGTTAAGTATGATTGATATCCACTGTGTGTGTTTCTGAATAAATGCTTCTGTTTTTGCATGTGAGTAATTGTTGCTTGTGTGATTGGTGCCTTCTGCCTGTTATGATGTTTGGGTCCCGTCCCTGCAGGCTGTGCAGGGCTGCCCTTTGCTCCCATGGGTTTGGGAGGATCTGTGGGTGGTAGCCAGGCCGAGTTACTCAAACTAATGAGACAGCAGCTATGTTTTATCTCCATGACTCTCTCTAATCAGAGTGCCATGACAAGAAAACACAGCCACCGCAAACGACGCAGCAGGCCCCGGTTATGGAGGGAGTAGCCTTAGAACATCTGCATTTAATTGGCACTCAAAAACATACAGGGCATGGATTTCATCTCAGTATAGTTACTAGCAAAGAACAGCAGAGTTACTGGTGAAAAACACCAGTCTGTGGTGAAATCCCGACTAGCAATGCTTTATGGATATAGTATAAGAGAAGCCTTAGAGGCTCATATAAGCATAGTGTGAATAGATATCCAGTTGAAGGCAGGGGGAGAATTGACTCTCGGCCAAGAAGGATCGATCCGTTTTCCTCCCCAGAGGGGCATTTAAACCTCTAAACACTGCTGTGGACTGATCCCCTTTCACTACAGCCACCCCCACAGCAAAATACACGGGCTTATCTGGCCTTTCCATCATATACCAACACTTGTGGCCTGTCTGATGGATTTCACACTGCAGCCACTGCTTGGATTTTAAGCACTTTTCCTTTTTATATGTATCAAGATCATATGTAGGTGACATAACCCAGAAACCCTCATCATCACAATTTGTGCTCTATCCCTCAATCTCATTTAGCAACAAACATTCACACTTATTAAGTATGCATCCAAAATTCTGTAACACCATAAAGTCACTTAAATCTGTTCTTCTCCGCTGAGTGCGAAGAACAATGAAAATGTAAATATTTCAATTCACATCGTCAATCTAATATTGATCTGATTTGTATTGAAGATTGTTCGGCTGAATTTAGACTCTGATTGTTGTGAATGTGCGATATGGATTCCAGCGTTTCTGTGACCCGGAAGAGTGTTAAGGTTTAGCTAACAGTGCACCACCATGACCGTGGCTGGACTTGTGCACGTCTGGTCAGCTTTACTTTTTAGTATGTTTGTTCAGATGTTAAATACAGCAGCATTAAAAAAAACTCACTGTTTCAAAACATGCTATATAGCAAGAAATAAGTGTGATGTAACAGCAAATGTAATGATAACAAAATGAAGTTAAAATACAGCGTTAGCAAGTTCCGAGCTCTGATTGTACCTAGCTTAGAGGATATTGTTGATGCTAACTGTGTGCCACTTATGGAAGACATTGTTAAATAAATCAACAGATATCATTAATGTTATTTACAACTGACAGAATCAATACTTTAAAAAATGAACATTTTACAACAAAATGTGGATTTTCTTCTGAGGATGAAAAAATGTGTCATTTATACGCAATAGGGGAGGTTCAGGCTATTTGTCTTTGTTACATCTACCCTTCAGTAAACGAGGTAAGACATGTTATATTGTTATTTTGTATTCTTGGGCTCCACAGCTGAGGTCCATCATGATCGATTTCTCTGGAAGAGAAACTCAAGATCGGAACCTTTTTGCACATCTTTATATTTAAACATAATGCTACAAATACGTAACAAAAATCCAGTGGTTAAATATCTGGTAAACATTGTTATGTTGTTCATAAATATTTAAGAGAAGCCACACCCCTATCTCAGTTTGTCTGGTACAAGGTAGTCAGTCAGCAGCTACCTGGAAGAGCAGATTCTGTTTTTATGTTTGGATGCATTATGGATTTTTATGGAAATAAAAAAAAATTGCAAGATGTACTGACTGTGATGGGAAATGAAACCAGTTTATCCAGATCCCAAGTCTTGCCTTCTTGGTTTATATTCAGAAACATATAAATATAGTAAGAATGAAAGGACACTAATGGACCTCAGTCTGCAAATTACAAGAAGAAAACAATTGGCAAAACAAATGCTATCAATGTACCGCTGGAAAAGAAGAAATTACTTAAGGGAGGGCAAGTTCAAATACATATGGGGTCCATTTATGGTCCACAAACACAGAGAATGATGTATGTGAATGAATGGAAAAGAAAAAGGGGTTTTATGTGTGTTGTATTCTGTTCTGTTTTATATTCAAAGGGGCTATAAAGACTGGTTTATAATAAGTGTCCTGTGTGTTAGTTTTGTGATCACTGATCTGACGTAAGTAATTGTTGAACTTTGCTGTAATTATATACATTGTTTTTATTAAAAATATGAAAACAGTGTGAGGTTGATGGACTAGATGAAGCTTTGGCATGTAATTATTATATATGTAATGATAAAAACACTGTAAAAACAGATATTTCTATAGTAGTGAAAAAAAAAGAAGGTTTCTGTTATTTAATTGTTTATCTGTTGCACAGGGGAAGGTCTTCATCAATAAGAAAAGCTTTAAAACCTGGGGAAATACAGTTAAAATACCCACATTCACATTTTCCAAAGCTGTCGAGTGGGGCCATATTGAAGTCTCTGTTGGGTCCGCGAGCCTTATGTTTGACACCCTTGCTTTAATAGGTCATGATGTTGATATTTTCTCACAAAGTTGAGAAAATACATAAATACAATAAATAAATTTGGACTGCAACAGAGAGCAG